ACGGCTGGAGAATGACAATCGATGATAATTTTAGGGAGGCCAAACCCTAGACGTCATTTATTTTGGCCGGCACTTTTCTTTATTCTTTTAATGACGCTTACTGCAACTTGCCTAAATAAGGTTATAATTTATTTTTATATTGAGTTAAATTATTTTTAAATTGTGTAGTTCAAAATTCGAGAGGAAAATATTTTTGGATAGATTTGTGACTGGAAACGTTCTATCCTGTTAATTTTTGAGTTTTATGTCATTTTTTTGTTAATTACATCCTAGTAATGCCCAATCAAACTGTATAATATTTTCAAAGCAAAACCTTTGAAGGCGGGTGTAAAAGGACAATAACTCACAATCTTTAAGTGGTTTAATTTAAATTTTAATGCTTAAAAAAGCAAGGGGGGGCGACATGTTTCGGGAATTTAAACTATTCCCATCATCAGGCCCAAAGACAAAAGTCACCTAGGAAGTACAACCACTCGGAAGAAATAAAATTAGTTAGAGCTGTTAACATTTACACAACTCATTCATTGTAATTATAAATTGTATAACTCTTCAAGAAGGAGGCCTTTCGTTGTAATATCAAATAAATGTCTATATCATAATCTCCATACCATCTTATTTTGATTTTACATTTTAATTTTTGACGAGAATGGACGTTCGTCTTAAAAGAATGTTTCTGTGAAGACGAACGTCCATTCTCGTCAAAAATTAAAATATAAAATCGAAATAAGATGGCATGGAGATTATGATGTAGACATTTATTTGATATTACAACGAAAGGCTTCCTTCTTGAAGAGTTATACAATTTATAATTACAATGAATGAGTTGTGTAAATGTTAACAGCTCTAACTAATTTTATTTCTTCCGAGTGGTTGTACTTCCTAGTTGACTTTTGTCTTTGGGCGTGATGATTGTAATAGTTTAAATTCCCGAAACATGTCGCCCCCCTTGCTTTTTTAAGCATTTAAATTTAAATTAAACAACTTAAAGATTGTGAGTTATTGTCCTTTTACCCGCCTTCAAAGGTTTTGCTTTGATAATATGTACTCACACTGGGTTAGAGAACGTTTAGTTTTGTATAATATTTTTTCTAAAGTGCATTAAAATTTGGCTTCCTCCCCAAGAATATTATTTAAATCAAATAATTTTATTTGCTTCTTAATATTAGTAATAAGTTTGATGATAACAATGTAAATACCGAGTAATAATAAACACCTGTAACTAATAACAATCACCACTAAGTTAACTACTAGTTACAACAAACACATCTGAATGAATATTTTAATATTATGATTTTATATTTAAATCTAATATTTGCTGCATTTCATTTATATACGAACGACATCATTTATTAAACAAAAAGTCCGTATGTGATATATTATTTGGAATTGTAAATGGATCAAAATTTCAAATAGAATAACGCTTTAGTTTTAAGCGTTGTTATATGTATTTATCCAGGTTTCTGTTTTTACAACGAAATATTGTGACATTTTTGCGTCTGCTAAATAATGATAAGGAAAAAAATGTTAAAAGATAAATTCCCTAGAAATATTTTCAATTAGCAAATACAAAAAATAATTTTTGAATTAATAATTATTGACTTTTAAAATACCGAGACATCCTGCGTCTCTTATATTAACACAAAATTGATTGTTCAACCAAAATGATTTACCGTTTCTAAGAGATGTCTACCAACAGAATATTTTTATGTTTATACTTTTTTAATGTTTGTTATGTTACCTCTATAATATTGTTTTTCGTCGGTTCCGTGTGGAAAATTCTAATTTATTTAACACAATTTATTTCAATATTCCCTAACCAACAAAACAATAACGATAAAACACTAAAAAAACTATTTACAAACTTATTTACAACTATTTATCTAAAAGGAATTTATTTTAAATTTAGCGCGGCAAACTGTATGTCGACCGAATCTGATTGATTTCTGTCCCTTGCGCACTTCGGCTTTTATACGAGTGCGACAGAGAGCCTAGAATATAATCGATCTTCTCCACCATTCTAGTATCTTCTATCGTTTCGTCGTCGCATGTTCTCTGTTTCGGTCATATGACGACGGGGCATATTCTTAGATACATGGTACCGTCCCAAGAGGTACACGGTGAGTGAAGGTACCTATTTGCAAAGTCGGCCTCTGGTACACTGAGAAGCCTGGTAGACATAGCAGTCTACTAGTTTTCTCGCCCGATCTCTGCTTTGGGTTGTTACAGCAAACGAGGATCTCGATTCCCGTAAAACGAAACAGGACTTCAGTAATGTTCCGGATTGAACGCCAACTCAAATCATCGAGTCCACACGCCAGCTTCGGAACGGCTAACCGTGTAATGTTGTTGTTTAGCAGGGCATCTCTCAGTTCAATCAGGGTCTTCCATAGATTGAGATAACCCATGCCGGGTTCGAGATATAGAGTATATAAAAATTCGCCCGCTTTAAATAAGTAGGCTTTGAACGGCACCGGCTGTAATGCAAAAAAAATCTAGCTGTGAGCATCAATTAAAACGAAAATAATAATTGCTATGAGAGATGCAGAATTTTATAACAATTTAAAATATATTTAACCAACATCAACACATTTAAACTATATCTAATAACAATAAAAATAAATAGCAAACAAAGACATGAGATTTTGCTACAGGTGTTCGACATATCGATCGTCTTCTGTTATGGATAGACGTGTGGATTAACTCAGTGGAGGTAAAAGATATCCTCTCATAACTGCTAAGTATTTCCAATTCTTGTCTAGATTATACGGAAGAATAAGGAACCTTTATTCTTCCGCAAATATATCCATAGGGTTAGATCCATGGGCACTAAGTCAGGCGGCCTCGACGGCCAACGGCTGAGATCTTGGTTAGCTATTCAATTATTCTTAAAATTGGCTGCAAAAATTTGCTGATAACTTCAGAGGCGGTGCGTCATCTTCCTGGAAAAATATGTTTTCGAGCTCCATAAACGGCATATCATCAATAAGGGGGTCCAAAGCCTACTAGTTAAAAGTGGCGAACTTTTAAAAATTCTGTATTTCAAAGGGGATTATAACAAAATATCAAGTGTGCTATATTTTTGGAAAGGTAATTTTAAATTATTTTCAGTTAATTAAAAATATACAGGGTGTCCCAAATAAAAAATCAAATTTTCTGTTGATATATCTTAAATTATTAATTTTAAAAAAATTATACTTAAACCATTAAATTCTACTTAAAAAGTGCTGGAATGTTATCATAGAAATACAAAATTTTCCATAGCAAAAAAGTTACAGCGATTTATTAAAAATGCACATTTTTGAAAAACACCCCGTAACTCCGAAACGGTAACAGATATTGATGTGCGGTTTTCACCGTCATGTTTTTGATGAAAATTGAGCTCCAGACCGGTGTTAGTTGAAAAGTAAAAAGTTATACGGGGTAAAGTTGTACGTACTTCAACCAATTAATAGAAATTTTAAATGCTTCTGATTTTTCTACTCTGGACTTTTTTATGTGGATAATATGTTAGATTATGTTAATTATCACAGTGTTTACAAAACTTGACCAACTGTTGTCGACAAAATGAAAGACATGTGGCTACTTTTTAAAATATAAGTACACATGAAACTCTTAACATGATCTTAAGATCTATTGAAAAGAAAATTATTTTATGCACTGAAGAGGAAAAGAAACATTCCGAGCATGTGATTTCATCTAGCTAATTTCTGTCACATAATTATACGTTTATTTTTAGTTTTAATTCTATAACTGACTGTAATTAAAATATGTTTTAAACGTGTATCTTTTTATTGCCGTTGAATATTTTACTGTACATCCTTCAGTTGTTGTTGAATTAATGAAATGTATTTCACAGCCACCTAGATTTTATCAAATAATAAGAATCTACAGACACAAGATAATAATATCTAGGGAAATCATTGTCTTAGGGATAGATAGTATTTTAAAGAGTATGATGCCCACTTGCACCGTTTGTATAAACTTTGTTTAAAGGCTAAACATTGATTAACTATACATATTTTATTGTAGTTAATCACTGTTTAGCCTTTAAACAAAGTTTATACAAAAGGTGCAAGTGGGCATGAATTCTATATTGAATGTTGGAATAATATACCGGGTGTTCCATTTAAAATAAAGGAAGAACTTGATTTTAAAAGTGCCCAATGTTTAATATTAATTTTTGTCACTCTAAATTTTGAATGTCTCACTCTGTATATCTTTTCGGGTCAAATTTTAATTCTGTTTAACATACATATGGTTATTTTAACTAAATATCAGGCTATACAGACTAAATTACAATTTAGGTAGCTGTTATCGAAATTTAAAGTTCATTTTCTCTAAATCAGAATTATGTGAAAACCCTTACATTTTAGTGATATGCTTCTTTAATGAAACTAACCTTTATTTTTTTCATAAAATCTGAAAATCGATTAATATATAGGTATTTCATTACAAAAAAACATCCTGTTTGGGGACACTCTGTAGAAAATGTCTATACCTATGTGGCGGATTCATCAACGGTTTTTGTAAACGTATCTGTTTTAAAAAAATTAAAGTGTTCTCTTATAGTTGAATTTAAATATTTTATAGTTTTTTTCTTTATTCTTTATTCTTTGTATTTTTTTGCTTCCGACGACGGAAGGAGATAAACTTTCCGAAACGTTAAGCTTTTTTTGTTCATTAGGCAAATTTGTATATCTTTAAACCTAACTTCTGACAAGTAGTTTCCGTTTGGGATTAAAGCAGAAGTGTTTACATAAAATAACTATTTTATTTTGTAAATTTTCTTGTAGTTGCGAAATACCCATATAGGATTTTTTGGAGAGACCCTGTAGAACTCCGAATTAAACTACATATGCTCCTAAAATTATGTTTCAAAATAAACTACTGGTTTGAGAGGAGCCATCCTGTATAATGGAATATTTCCTCAACCCTACTCTGATGAATGAAAAATGATATAAATAGATAAAATGAAAATCTAACAGATAGTTCCAACGCAACCTAGCCAACATGAAGACAATAATTTTAAGTGTGCTACTATTATTCTTATGTAATAGTGTTTGTGGTGTCTTGATAAAATTGTCTCAATCTGGTATGTATTTACATATACAATGTAGAGATAGAGCATTGTTCTAAAAACCTTCTAAAATGAGATATCCTATTTGAGATTTTCACATTGTTTTAAATATTCGTACAACCAAAGAATACGATACGCTCTAGAAGTGACGTCTCGCATCAACATCTGATCTAGCTATGGGGCTGCCTCATAAGCAGACCCGATGCATACCGTGCTGGCAACTGTTACTTTTGGGTCGGCATTTACATGTGTGGAAGTAAATCGCATAGGGATCTTATTAAGTCGGAGTGAGAGAAATGCGACCGACAGACGCGACGCGCGACGGTGTGCTGTTGCGGCGTTGCCGATACGCCTTTCCCTATCAAGTAAGGTAAAATCTCGATCGCAAACCGCTTATTTTTAAAAGACTTTTTTTCAAGAGATAACTAGATAAAATCATTAGACATGTTTCTGAGCATCTGTAATGGAATTATAAGGATATCGTTAAGGTGTCATTTTTTTTATAACGAGAAAACGTCAGTAATCGCGATAATTTAAAAACTCAACTTTTTAACACATAACAGGCCATAACTCAAGAACCACTTTAGATATTGAAACTTTTTTTATTTTCAAGATCGGATATTTTACAATATGTTTACGTAAGAAAAATTCGATAAGATTGTTTTTTCCATTCAAAAATTGTAAACAATCCATCCATTTACTTTTAGAGCATAGCAATTTTCAGCAATCATGTAATTTTTTTATTGATATTTTCACATATTGTCTACAAAAAAAATACAGCAGAAATATTAACAAAGTTCCTGAAAAAACTACAATCTATTATTTGTAATAGATTTCGAGATATCGATTTTTGAATTCAGAGTTCTAATAGCGCGACCACTATCGAACACCCACTCAATTCCACATATTTTTACCAAAAATGCAAGTGTTTCTAGCTTGCACTTAAAAAAATTCAAGCTATAGGGAAAATTACAACGACTCGTTAATATATAGACAAATTAAGTATCACGAGACGTAATTAAATCGTGAAGCTGAACGCATGACGTACACCTTTCCCTAGAACTTTAAGTACTGACAGAGGTATTGATTGGGTCGACCGGTCAACTGCGACTAATCTGCTATGTCTCCTTCCACGTCTCTTAGCGATGTGCACAGTTTCTCGGTTTATTTCATACGTTTGGCAACGTGTTTACTGTCCTCTCTTTGTTCAGTACATTATAAACGCATTGTACTCTTCTTACATACGGAAATCTCGACCCAAGCCTAACCTTTGCCAGCCCTTAGTATATGGTACTACTATATAGCATATCGGCAAGAGAAATCTTGGGTCGCTATTTTCATCTGCGGCGATCTTGTAATTCGGAGAGAGAAAATTGCTAAGTATTTATTACAACGATTACGTTTTCATTAAATAATTTTGACTTACTTTTTTAATTATAATTCTCACTGATGTAAGTAAATGTAATGTAATCTTTAATTTATTAAGTTTATGAGAGATAAATTAACAATATAAATATAAATATGAAAGATAAATAATGTAAATGTAATACAAATAAAAGGATCTACCAAAAATGCAAAGAAAAGGCTGGTAAAACGCAATTTGGTTTCATGAACGGCTTAGACACAAGAGAAGCTGTGTACTGCATGCAACTGCTGGTACAGAAATAAAAAAAAATTAAAAAAAAATTAAAAAATTAAAACAAATATAAAGATACTCCAAGATGCTGATACTCCACTACTCACAAATTAAACAAGGCATTAATTCAAGCGGATTAATAAATCTGCGGATTTTAGTATTTAAAAAGTGTGACACCAAAAAATTGTGAACACTTGAACTTAAGACCTATCAATCTAAAATAATCATAAATTCTTCATTTGGAGTAATCATTAGCTTAAATAGCCATTTTTTTCAAATCAAGTTTTTTTAAATCAAGGTTTTCTGTTATTCTAGATACGAGATATTCCGCAGATGGGCAGTACAACAAAACCTATTACTTATCTCCTGACAAAGCAAACTTCTTCTTAGCACATTTATCCTGTTTGTCTGCTGGATTGGAATTGGCTTCCGTAACTACTGTAGAAGAATCGGCTTCATTGAATAAATTATTATCATCAGTCCTTGTAACACGTACGTATCATAATTATCAACAAAAATTACTGTGGTCGAAGTAGGTTTTATAAGACGTAATTTGGACAATTCTTTGAAGCTTGATTACACAGAATCAAGCTTCAAATAATTTACTGTTCACTACATAAAATGATTCGCTTTCCAAAAGATCTTTTCATGTTAAGAGGCATATGTGGAGTTTTACCTTGAAAAGCAGCTGACAACATGAGAGGCACTGTCATGTTCTCAGTGTCTCTCATGTTGTCGACAATAGTTAGTCGAGTTTTTGAAACACTGTTTTTAACATATCCCCATAAAAATGTCCAGACTAGACAAGTCAGGAACATTTAAGTATTGTATTAATTGGTGAATGCATCCTGCAGACACTAACTAAATCATATCAATTCTCTCTGATGTAGGGGAGGTTTCAATTTTCGGCAAATTTCTGAGATTTTTTTTAGTTTTACTGACACAAAATGGATAAATAATTGTAAGAGTTGAACTAATTTGACAGCTGTGTTGAAATAACGTCGATTAAGGACATATCACCAGCCACCTAGATTTTATCAAATAATAAAGATCCACTGACACTGGGGGTAACTGACACAAATATGAGGTATTTTTTATTAAAGTGTAAATTATTCAAAATGATTATGCTCATAGCTGACTAAACTTTGATCATTTTTTAGTCTGCTTGGCCTCGATTTGGCATTTTGTAAAATTATTAAAAACAGGCAGTCTTTTTGCAGAAGTGTACAGAAAATATCATCATGTACAGAAAATATCATCATTTAATATGCCTAATTCTGATTAGGCTTTTTGTATTTTTTTTAAAGCCGGCGTTTTATAATATGCCTAGACTTTTTGCCAGAAGCCGGATTATTACGGCCAATATTTTGCCATTATTCATCATTATTTTGCCATGGCCTTACGCCTGCGACATAATATGTGGTCCGAACTATATTCCGAAAACTTCGGCAACAGATTCTGCAGATAAAAATAAGTAAAAAAGTTCCCATAAATGTATGTTCTAAAATGCTTAGTTTCGGAGATACAGGGTGTAGAAGTTTCTTTTTTATTTCGACTTTTTCCAAATAATTTATAACGTAACCTCAATATTTGGATGGAAATTGGTGTCTGTGTTTTTTTGACATGAGAAATTTGATTTTGATGTCAATCTGACTCTTACTTGTAGAGAGCGCCACCTACATTTTTTCTAATTGGTTTGAAGAGTAATAACTTTTAGTCCGTACCTGTATAAAACAACTGAGTAAAAAAATATAAATTTACGACATTTTTTACTTAAAAAAAGTCTTTTGGGAAAAATTGCTACGAGTAATGCTTCTCGAAATATTTGGAATCGAAATTATCAATACCTGTCGTCAATGACATAAATTAAACATGTTGACTAAATAGTTACTAGACTGAAATCGTAATTTTGAAATGTTTTTATGTCAAAAGTTCAACAGAAACTGTTCTATCATCATTTCCTTGCAGAAAATCTTATGATTACTTTAAAAAATTAAAATTTCCCGAATGTATTATTTCAGTCAAATAACTATCTACTCAACGTGTTTATTTTTTCTCAATAATGACATGTATTGACTATTTCCATTCTAAATATCTTGAGAACGGTTACTCGTAGCGATTTTTACCAAGATACTTTTTTGCGTAAAAAGTCATGAAAATGTATATTCTTTTATTCAGTACTTTTATACAGATACGGAAGAAAAGCTATTACTCTTCAAAACAATTAAAACACATATGTAGGTGGCGCCCTCAACAAATAAGAGTCATATTGACATCAAAATCAAATTTATCATGTCAAAAAACTCCCAGACACAAATTTTCATCCAAATATTGAAGGTACTTCATAAATTACTTGAAAAAAATCGAAATAAAAATGAAAATTCTACACCCCGTATCTTCGAAACTAAGCATTTTAAGACATACATTTATACGAACTTTTTTACATATTTTTATCTGCAGAATATACTGAATACAGTTCGGACCACCCTGTATATAAAATACACAAGTAACTTGCTTTTAAAGGTGATCAGTCTTTAATATTAATGTTGTCTCACCCTGTATAACATTTTGGGTCAAGTTTTAATTTGATTTAAAGTACAATAATTATTTCAACTACACCAACCGGATAAATTCCAACTAGGAAGCTTTAATTGAAATTCAATTTTTTTTCTTCATTTTGAGAAAATGTTAAATATTGTTAAAAACTTCACATTTTACTGATATTTATAGTTCTCTCTAATGAAACTCGCCTTTATTTTTTTCCTATAATCCAAAAATCAACTGATAGATAGGCTACAAAAGGCATTTATAAGGCATTACAAAAGAACACAATTTTGATGTGTAACTTTTTTGAGGACACCCTGTATAATTCTCTATATTTTTAAAAAAGGCTCTAAATTAACCTACATAATATGCTCATAAAATTTCACTTCAATACAAACTGTCGTTCTTCCTGGAGTCTGTAAGAGAGGCGATACTCTGTATATATACAGGCTGCTACAAATTCGAGGTACGAGTTTTGGTATCTCGAAAACCGTAATAGATACGAGGACGGTTGAATTGGGACAAATTTGCGGCTTGGGATGTTCGCTAACATGCTATCAAAAAAGTTTCAAAAATTTCAAGGATTGTTGAGTTAAAAAAAAAGATTTTTTTGAATATCCTGTTTTTTATATTTTCCTGTCGTTACTTTTTAGAAAATCAAAAAACTAATTTCAAATTCTCACAGCCACTTTATCAGGGCTATCTGATAGTATTTTTAGATTTTCAAATTAACGGATAATTTGTGAGATACATAAACCAACTTAATTTTTTTAAATACGGATCTGCATTTTTTATTGATGTTTTGAAATAATTCAGTCTCCTGAGTACAACGATATGCCACACGTTATATTTTTTTTGTTTTGGATACTTTAACAACAACAAAACTGTTTAATTATTATTTAAAATAATTTCAAGCCCGGGCCGACTCTGGATTTTTAAATTATCTAACCTGATTATATTCATCGCAATAATATTGACGAGCGTTAATTAACATTGAATAAGAAAAATCGAGAGCATTGAAATATTCAAATAAATAATAGTCAGGTCAGTAATTTAAAAGGTGTTATTTTTAACTTTTTTGTGAATTTCAAATCTAAATGTACGATCTAATAATATGCATAATATTAATCGTATAGTTATTATAAATATATCAACTTTTACCAACAAGTGCTATAATGCTCTATATGTTCGAAAGGGTTTATTTAATTACCATCTTCCCTATTGCACACATTTATTTTCGTTCAATTTTATGTATAGCCCTTTCAACAGATGGCTATGAGAAAGTGCAATTAGTTTTTTGATTTTCAAAAAAGTAACCACAGGAAAAAATAAAATTGATTTTCAAAAAAAATCCGTTTTTTTCCAAGTAACTCAGCAATCCTTAAATTTTTTTCAAATTTTTTTGATGGTATCTTGGTGAACATTCCAAGCTAGGCGCAACTTTGCCCCAATTAAACATGGTTACTATCAAGTTGCTATTACATTAGCAGTTAGCTATTACGCTAGTTACGCTATTGCGGTTACCAATATACTAATGCTCGTACTCCGAATTTGTAGCACCCTGTATATTCGGGGTGAGTCTTAAATAACACAGCATACAAGCATTTTTAGGGGTAGTATAATTCGACTTCAGAAACACGACTATGAGGTTTTTTCACGATTTTTTTTTAATTTGGAATTATTATTTTTTTTAATTTTCATTATTTAGCGGGCTGGGAAAATGGTTACTGGTTATCTGGAAGCGCTATAGCATACAACGAAACTTTGGAATACCATTGGTTTTCTACCGGTGAAAAAATAATTTATTTCAACTGGGGCCCAGGTGAGCCGAACAACGTAGATGGCAACGAAAGCTGCATAGAAATTTTATTGACCAGTGGTTATGTACCAGGATGGAACGATCTCAGTTGTATGGCCAATCTTAGATACATATGTCAAACCAGACACTCATGTTATGCAGACCTTTAACCAATACCGTCACCATATATTTTATTATGCATATTTTCAAACATGTTGTTACGTCAAAGATTATAGTTATCTTTATTAAATGTATCTGAGTCAGTACTTAGTGTTTTTATTTTTTCTCACAAGATCGTACTATTTGCAGTCGACAGAAGGCAATATGCTTAATTGAGTCATTTTGTATTTTAGTAATTCAATCAAAATAAAAAGGATAGGAAGAGCAGTTCTTGCCATCTTCTCAAATTGCCTGAACAGACGAAAGGATCCAAAAACCACTGCCTTTTACAAATTCATCTCAAACTGCAATCTGCTATATCTAACTTCCTCTTTAACAAAAAAATATTTATTTTGTATTTTTTTGATAAAATAAGCGAACTATATCGACAATATTAGTATCTGGTACTCTTTGAAAATGTGTTACATCTTACATTTAAAAATAATCTAAAATGTCAATATTCCATGGGTCTAGTGAAAAATGAGGTCTAAATTATAAGAAAATTTATTTTCTACGAAAATTTGAAGAGATAGGTAAAAAATAGTATAATACAATTTTTTAATAAAATATACAGGGTGTTCCTTTTGAATTAAACAAGTTGTTGCCATTAAAGCTAGTAATTATTTAATATAAATTTGTGGACACTCTGTATAAGATAGTATAATTTATGGGGTGCAATAGGGGGATAGTATAATTTGTGGAGTGCAAGGGGTATTGAAGCGATACATATAGCCTAGCTTACCCAAAAGTCAACCTCACCTTCACGTGGTGCACCCTGTTTTCACAAACGAGGCTCTGACGTCCGAGTATAGTTGGTATAACGCTATACAACCCTACGACCTACCATCGTTCTGGGGAAGAGGAGAAGTAGGCTACTCCTACCCGGCCGAGAACGTAGCACAAGGGAACTATCGTCTCACTCCTCACTGTGCCATAGTCATCCCGTGCTAGAGTTGCAGCCAAACTGTGCGGCAGCCTAACCGCCACAGTTTAACCCTTTTACGCAGCTAACACTCATCAAAGATGGAACATTCGAGTGGGACAAAATCATCGTCCGGAGGTAAAATACCCCCTCGATCGGATCTCCGGGAGGGGGTGCCTACTCGAGTGTATCATCGGAGAATTAAGCAGCGTCAATGATTCACGTTTGCGGCGTGGAACGTCCGCACTTTCCTGGACAGGACAAACTCTAATCGACCAGAAAGAAGAACTGCTCTGGTCTCACAGGAACTCCACCGGCTAAGTATAGATGTTGCCGCTCTTAGCGAAACCCGCTTTGCAGATGAAGGTAGTCTGACTGAAGAACATTACACCTTCTTTTGGAAGGGTCACCCTACCACAAACAGTAGAATTCATGGCGTAGGCATTGCTGTCAAAAACGAAATCGCCACCAGTTTAACAGAAGTGCCCATTGGAGTCTCCGAACCCTAAGGAACCTCTCATGACCCTAAGGTACCCCATATCAGATAACACTTACGTCAATATCATTAGTGCCTACGCTCCCACACTAGCCGCTAAGGTTGAGGATAAGGATAAATTTTACCAAGATCTACAAAATGCTCTCCAACGAATTCCAAAGCAGGAGCGAATCATCTTGCTAGGTGACTTTAATGCACGTGTCGGCAATCAGCAAGAAATATGGCCAGACGTATTGGGAAAACATGGAATGGGAAACGTAAATAGCAATGGCGAACGCTTGCTAACAACATGCACAGAGTACAACCTTTGCATCACCAATACATGGTTCAAGCTGAAAGACAAGTTTAAAGGTACCTGGAAACATCCCAGATCAGGCCACTGGCATCAATTGGACCACGTCATCGTTCGAATGAAGCATCTGAAAGATGTCAGACTTACAAAAGCCAGAATAGATGCCGAATGTGGTACTGACCACCGACTTGTAGTTTCGAAAATGAAACTTCAATTAAAACCCAAACATCCACACTGCAAAAAGCAAAACAACATGACCAGATTAAACGTACGGAGTCTAACGAACAACGACACCGCCAACGCCCTCCGGGAAGCCATCAGAGAATCACTTCCACCGATAACCTCAATCTCGGAAGCTGAACAATGCTGGGCATAATTGAGGGATGCGATTTATAATACCAGCGAAGAATATTGGGAAAATCCAACAAAAAGAAACAACCAGACTGGTTTAACGAAAATCAACCACATATACAGGCTTTGTTGGAACAAAAGCATAGAGCACATCAAGCAGTCACTGCAAATCCACACAATCCAAGGCTGGTGGACAACTTTAAAGCAGCCAACAACACGCTTCGAAGAAACCTGTGCCAACTAAAGGATAACTGGTGGTCACAAAAAGCAAATCAGATTCAAGAGTACGCCGCGCATCACGACTATCGTAAATCCTTCGAGGCTGTAAAAGAAGTATACGGCCCAACTAAGAACGTAAGCTGCCCAATCAAGGCACAAAACGGTGAACTTTTAAAAGAGGAAGAGCAAATCAGAAATCGCTGGAAAGAGCATTACAGCCATATCCTTAACCAAGACAATATCCCCAATATGCAGGCACTAAACACAATACCTCAGTATAACAGCATTGATGTATTAGATATCCCAATAACGGAACAGGAAATAAAGGCCTCCATAAAACAACTTAAAAACAACAAATCGACTGGCTGTGACGCGATTCCAGGCGAAATCTATAAGTGTAAAACCAAAGAACTTATTGGTCATCTTAAGGCTCTCTTCGATGTCATGTGGGAAAGCGGAGAGGTACCTCAGGACTTTCGCAACGCGAATATAGTAAATATATTTAAGAACAAAGGAAGTGCATCAGATTGCGGAAACTACCGAGGAATTTCACTACTGGTTATCGGAGGTAAAGTTCTCGCAAAAATTATGTCAAACCGCCTTCACCCACATATAGAAAAAATCCTCCCAGAATCGCAAACGGGCTTTCGCACCAACCGCGGTACCGTTGATTCCATATTCTCCGTCCGCCAACTCAGGAAAAAGTAAAGAACAGCAGATTAAACTTTATGTTGCATTCATCGACCTAACGAAAGCCTTCGACTCTGTAAACAGAGATGCACTTTGGGCAATTATGCAAAAGTTCGGAGTTCCCAACAAATTTCTTAGTGTGTGTAAAAGCTTCCATAACAACAACAAGTCGAGAGTGTCACATCATGGATCACTGAGCGATCCCTTCCTGACAAATACAGGAGTTAGGCAGGGATGTGTCCTAGCTCCACTATTGACATCCTGTTCAACATATTCACGGCAGCGCTCTCTATTATAGTGGACAGCAAACTTGAGGAAAGAGGAATGGGTGTTAGATACAGGTTTGACGGCGGTCTGTTCAACATACAAAGACTCAGGGCAAAAACACGTATAAAATTCATCACAGAACTCCAATAAATACGCTGATGACTGCGCTCTAGTTGCAAGTACGTTATTTGTTAGCAATTACAGGAAATGCTGAACACATATACCTGGGCATACGAGACTTTGGGCCTTAAAGTGAACATCGATAAAACAAAAATCATGTGCACTCCCCCGGGAAATCATAACAGCGTTATAAAAATCGGAGAAGCACTATTGGAATATGTATCGGAATTTAATTACTTCGGCAGTTTGATTTCGGAAAAGGCAAATATCGACTCTGAAATTCATCACAGAATAAGCAGCGCCTCGTGAGCATTCTAGAAATTAAAAGATAGGGTTTTCTATAATCATGACTTGAGCACAAAAACGAAACTTGCAGTGTATCGAGCAGTAATAATCCCCACCATGTTATATGGAAGCGAAACCTGGGTGCCGTACCGCCGGCACACGAGCGCATTAAACAAGTTGCAACAGAGACACCTTAGTTAACTTTTAAGAATCAAATGGTACCACCATGTCTCAAACGTATCAGTCCTTAAAAAAGCAAGCTGCGAGAGCGCTGAAGTCATGATTACTAAATCTCGCTTAAGATGGGCTGGTCACGTATGCAGAATGCAAGAAAACCGCCTACCGAAATCTCTTCTTTACGGTGAACTTGTAGAGGGTAAGAGGAAACCGGGTGGACAACTCAAAAGATACAAGGATGTTGTTCATGAAAACTTAAAGGGGATAAGTATGCCGCAACAGTGGGAGGAAGCAGCGCACAATAGAACGCAATGGAGAAGAATTGTAAATTCAGTTAATAACGACAACCAAAAAGTAAAGAGGCAACAAAGTAATGAGATTTTTGAATGTCCGGAGTGCGGAAGAGAGATAACATCACGTATCGGGCTTTTCAGTCATAGAAAAGCTCATGACAGGAAACGCCCTGCGTAACCATCTTTTGATGCGTGTCAAATACTCGTCAGCGAGTAATGGCAGTAGTAGTAGTAGTAGTAGTAGTAGTAGTAGTATAATTTGTATTATTGCAACACAATATCTAATCAATAAATCATCATCATCACGCAGCCTCCTTTCACGTCCATAGTTGAACATAGGCTTCCTCTAAACGTCTCCAGTTCTCGGGGTTTTTAGCTGTTGCAATCCAGTTAGTTGTTATTCGTTTCAGGTCGTCGGTCCATCGGGTGGGAGGAATCAATAAATAATCTTCAGTAAATATTTAGTATTAAAAACTTTGATACTCTTGGAGAAGTCTTGGAGAAATGAAGCCTTCAATTTTTTACTGCAATTTATAACACAAATTATAACACAATTGTTGAATTGGTGACTAAATAGAAACAAAATAATTATAAACTGACTTAGTTTCATATAAGATCTCACAACTTTAGGTAGTGGAAGAATTGCGTTTGCGAGACTTTTTTTAAACTCTGTTTTTGATGGGATAAGAATTCATTCCAACCGGTGTACTGCAAATACCGTATGATCGAATAAAAACGGCGTCAGCGAAGGCTATGAAATGAAGATCGCTGTCATTTTATATGTAAAATTATATGGGAAATGTCATCGATCGTCATTTCATAGCCATCGCTGGCGCCGTTTTTATTCGATCATACGGTACCTCGAAGTATAATATCCTTTAATATCATTTAATTTATAATATTCTTTTATATCATATAAGCCTAACTTCACTAAAGTGCCTGAGATTATTTGCGCTACAAATCTGTTCATTATATCTATTCAACAC